AAGATTACAATGGAGTTGAAAAACTCCTATAACCTAGTGATGTCTTAGCCATCCTAACGTAACGCAACACATTACCCATACACTTACCAGTGCATTACAATTTCCTATAGCCGCAATAATTTTTAAAGCATGCAACACCTGACTATTTAGTCAGGGGAACTTGGCCTCTTTTGTCCCTTAGACTGTCCAATAAAAAAATGACAACAGTCAACACAATACCCTTCCAGTGTGAATGAAATCAAAATTTTACCTATTGTTTTAGTCAGATCAGCAAAAAATACATTTTTTGGTGTGTCACAGAATTTTCGTAATTAGTTTGTGTGTGCCATGAGATGAAACATGTTAAAAATTGCTGGCCTACAATAATCAGTATAGTAACATGCTTTAAAAGTTTGTAGCTTAGAAGCACCAGTAGGGGAACAGAATTTGTCACCCCAAAATATGTCTCTATGGCATAAGAATTATTTTAGGCTCTTTAATTTTAAGAAACAGCAGATATGCGGAGAAGCTATGAAAACCAAATAGAAGTAACCCTTACATTTGTAAAGGAAATCTGACCTGTAAGCATTTCTTCCCAGGTGTACCAGAAAGAGCGGGATGTCCTTATCTCTAGAAATTCTTTCCAGTGCAGAGGATAAGAACTTAAATCTGCATAACAACCTATTTAACCTCATTTACTGTGCTTTTCCTGGTAACCTTCCATAACTGACTCCCTCCCCTCCCCTGCAACATATTCTTTTGCCTTCAGCTGAAGATGGAATTTAAGGTGCTGGCTTCAGCCGTTTTTGGGCAGTGACTCAGATTCCCTGGGTCTCTCCCATTTATACAGAAGTATACATGTTATTAAACTTTTTTTTTCTCCTGTTAATCTTTCTTTTATCATAGGGATGTCTCAGCCAAGAACCCAAAACTGTAGAAGACAAATAATTTTCCTCCTTTACAGAGCAATAGTCTATACCATATAGCCTAGGTATGTAGTAGGCTATACCAACTATATGTAAGTACAAGACAGATGTTTACACAACAAAATCACCTAATGTTGAGTTTCTCAGAACATAACTGCACAGTTAAGTCATGCATGACTGTATAGAGATGGGTGCCTAAGGATATTTTTGCCTGATGTTATTAGATATTTAAATCTCAAAAATTCCTGTTTAATACTTAGAATATCATATCTCTTTTTGTATTTTTTTAGAAATCCTTGCTACATCAACTGTATTTGATATGCATTCTACACTACAAATGAGTTGTATTTTCTAGAATTCTTCTTAAGGAGAATCAAATAGTACGTATTCTTTTTTGTCTGGCTTCATTCATGCAGATAATTGTTCATCACTTTGATGAATCCACTGAGATACATCCACTTTGTTATAAGTACAGTTGAGTAGTATTCTTTTGTATAGAAACACCATGATCTGGTTATTCATTTCCATTTTGGAAAAGTCTGGCACCTTCTAAAAAGTCAAACATCCACCTACCATATGATGTGGCTATTTCACTCCCAGGTATTTGTCCAAAAGAAAAGAAAGTATTAGACCCATATAAAAACTAGTACAAGAATATTCACAGTATCTCTATCTATATTAGCTAAAAATTATAAACAACTTGTTTCCATCCGTATGTGAATGAATAAATGAATGTGGTATATCCATCAAATGACATATTACTCAGTAATAAAAAGGAATAAACTATTGATACAACAACATGGATGAATCACAAAATAACTAAGCTGAGTAGAAGACAAAAATGAGTACTAATACAGGGTCCAGCATAAATTATGCCCCTTTTTTATGACAAAACCTTTTATTACAATCAAAATCATAAGCACGTAATTCTGTAACATAACATTATCACACTCAAGCATACCATATTATATCTTAGATGAAATACTCAAATTAAAATGATGAATTATTACACTCATATTATTACCCTACCAACCACACTCAAGCAGGCCTTACTTCTGCCAGACCCTGTATTTTTCCTTCTACTGGTTTTCCCCCCTCATTTCATCATTTTCCTTCTCTAGTACTTTTTTAAACACTCTATTTTTCTTCTTCCAGTGGTTATACTTTAAATATCTTTACCTTCAGTTCACACAGTACATGGACTTTAGAAAACTGAAATTCCAAATAACCCCTAATTTACATGCCATTGCAGTCAGAACAGTATATTTCTACCTTGTTTGTTGACAACAAATTACATATTATATTAATATTATTATTACCATTTCCTTCCACCAATTTTGACTTAGATTTATTCATGTTTTCTTTACTCCCTATTTATTCTTTCATTTATTATCTTCCTTTTAGTATCATCCTTCTTCTTGGAGTATACCATTTAGAATAGCTTTTTTAAATGTGAGTTAGGACCTACTGGGCTGTATAAAGCTTGAAAACAGTAAGATGAGCATCTCCTGATATTTCCCATACTTAGCGTTCATTGGAATCCTAAAATCTGAGGCTGTGTGTCTTTCATCAATTCTGGCAAATTTTTAATGCCAGCTACAGATAGCACCTTATTCCTAGACCATGTTTTATTTCTAGAACTCTAATTAGATCATCTCATAATCTCTTTTATTTTTTTCCTTTATCTTCGTTCTCTCTGCATGTCCTTCATTTTTTCTGTTTTTAGTTGTGCCTTACATGCTGGTTTAACACACCATTTAATTTTTAAGTTCTATAATTATATTTCTGTTTCTGATAGTCTAATAGGTTCTTATTTGAATGAGCCTTATTTGAATGGCTTATTTGATGGAGGCTTATTTGAATGGTCACATTCATGGTGTATTACTCTTTATGTTTTTGAATTCTTCTATTAATTCATTACACACATTACACATTTATTTTATGTATTAGATAATTCTGACAGCTGAAATCTCTGTAGCTCTGTTTTAGCTGTTTGTGGTTTCTGCCTCTTGCTCATAGTGTTTTCTTTCCCCTTATGTTTTGTGATTTTTTAAATAAGTGTATGAGCTTATTACTTGTTAGAATTTTAATTATGATTATTTGATAACGAGGTCAATAACTCACTCTATGGAGCATTTGTGATTGTTCCTGTAGAACCAATGAGCATTACAGACCCAAGTCCATTTTAAATTAAAATTCTGCACTTGTGGAGTTTTAGGGACCATAAAAATAGTGTCATTTAAGGCCACAAATCCAAAGGAATGTGAGCTGGTAACTGGGGATTACTAGGAGAGACTTAAAAAAAAAAATCTTTTTATTGTTCAAACACATTTGTCTCCATTTTCCCCTTCCCTAGTCACCGCCACCTCCCACCCCCAATCCTTCCCCACTTTGGCTATGCCCGTGAATCCTTTATACATGTTCTTTGATTTGACCCTTTCCCTTCTATTCCCCGTTACCCTCCTCCCTCCTTCCCTCTCATTACTGTCCGTTTGTTTTTTCTTTCAATGTTGCTGGTTCTATTTTCCTTGCTTGTTTGTTTTGTTGATAAGGTTCCACTTATAGGTGAGATCATGTGGTATTTGTCTTTCACTCCCTGGCTTATTTCAGTTAACATAATGCTCTCCAGTTCCATCCATGTTGTCGCGAAGGGTACTAGCTCTTTCCTTCTTTCTGTTGCACAGTATTCCACTGTGTAAACATCATAGTTTTTTGATCCACTCATTTACTGATGAGCACTTAGGCTGCTTCCAGCACTTAGCTATTGTAAATTGTGCTGCTATGAACACTGTGGTGCATAGGTTCTTTTGAATTGGCGTTTTGGGATTCTTAGGGTATAATCCCAGCAGTGGAATTGCTGGGTCAAAAGGCAGTTCCATTTTTAGCTTTTTGAGGAAACTCCAAACTGTTTTTCACAGTGGCTACACAAGTCTGCATTCCCACCAACACAAATAAATGGAAGCATATACCATGTTCATGGATTGGAAGAATTAACATCATCAAAATGTCTATACTACTCAAAGAAATTTATAGATTCAATGCAATCCCTATTAAAATACCAATGATGTATTTCACAGATATAAAACAAACATTTCAAAAATTTATATAGGAACCATAAATGACCCTGAATAGCTGCAGCAATTTGAGAAAGAAGAACAAAGTAGGAGGGATCACAATACCTGACATAAAACTATATTACAAGGCCACTGTAATCAAAACAGCCTGGTACTGGCACAAGAACAGATCCATAGCCCAGTGGAACAGAATAGAAAGCCTAGAAATAAACCCATGCTTCTGTGGTCAATTATTATTCAATAAAGGGGGCAGAAGCATAAAATGGAATAAAAATAGCCTCTCAACAAATGGCGTTGGGAGAGCTGGACAGCTACATTCAAAAAATTGAAATTCGACCACCAACTGACACCATACACAAAAATAAACTCAAGATGGATAAAAGACTTAAACATAAGTCACGACACCATAGAAATCCTAGAGGATAACAGAACTAGGAAGCTCTGAGATATACTACATGGCAATATTTTCACAGTTATGTCCCCAAGAGCAAGGGACATAAAGGAAGGAATAAACAAATGAGGCTTCATCAAAATAGAGGAGATTTTAACTCCACCTAGGGCTGTATGCTTCTCCAAAATGGTCTCCGATCAGGCCCCATAAACTTTATAGAACCCAAGGAATTTTCACCAGTCCCCATTCCTTTCCGTGCCCAAGTTTCTATGCCAAGAGAAATCATGGATACCTCCAAAGTATTCAGTGGCTTCAGTACTTGCCTACCTCATAGAATGTACTTGTTTTGTTTCTTGTCCCAGAAAGTTTCCCTTATTTTCATATAGGTTTATCCAATTATTGTAAAGAATTTTTAAAATACTGAATCTGGTATTTTATATATTTGGTGGATCTGTAGCCTATTGCATTATCAGAAATGGAAGTCTATTTAATATTTCTGCAATTGCTTTGTAAAATTTAAATCAGGGTGTCATATTTTACCCCTGCTAAATTTTATCTTAGTGTGTTACTCTAATCTACATATCTGTCAAGAGTACTTGCCATCTTGATTGAATTATTATATTAGCTTACCTTACAAGTTGTGTGTCATCTGCAAGTTCATTTCAACCCTCTCAGTCTTCACCAAAGTCACTGATCAACACAGCTTCTGAAAAGAAAAGTTTCATAATTAATTTTGAAAATCTTTACAGCAAATTCAACCTATTTTCTTTTATCAGGTATATATAATTATAAAATTAAATGTCTATCATAATCTTATACAGACAAATTAAATTAAAATAGGAAAATCCCCCTAACCCAATGACTTCAAGTGGTAAATCTTTTAAAAACTAGTAGTGAAAAGAATGCAAATATTTTACCATTTGCAGGTGTGGCCTGGGAAACTCTAGCACCTCTGAATTCTCCATGAGCCCTCATCTTCCATAGAAAGAAACACAACTTATTTGAACTAGTACAAAGAAACTGTAAAAAGCTTAGAAGAACTTTTTTTGAAGTGTCACACAGAGAAGCTTTGAAGGGTGTTTCGCTTTTAACAGCATCATGAAAACCCAAGCCACTAGATTTTTCTCCTTCTCTGTTTTGTCATACTTTTACTAATTTCAATCATCAATGAACTTTTGTAAAATTTTTATCTCTAACATCAGTATAGGATTTGTATGTGTTGGTGGGTATGTTTATATTTTCTCATCAGCATAAGAGAAAACTTATACTTCTTTAGTTCATTGCTCTTGCATGAAGAATGATAAACCATTAACTCTGGGTCTGTATCTTTATTTTCTCAGCAGCAACTACAGGTTTAAATAGCACATTAACTCTTGATGTTCTTTCTTCTCAACATATGATATATATCCTGCAATATGTAGTAGAATAGTAGAAAGAGCGTAGGATTTGTAATCACATAGATCTTATTTAAATACTGACCTCTCTGAACCTCTTAGGAAAATAATACCACAAGACCTTTTTTATTTAATTGATTTTTAGAGAGAGGAAGGAACATCGATTTGTTGTTCTACTTATTCATGCATTCATTGGTTGATTCTTGCATGTGCCCTGACCAGGATGAAAACTGCAACCTTCGCATATCAGATGACACTCAAAACAACTGAGCTACCTGGCCATGACCAATATCCCAGCAAGAACCTAATGGGATAGCACATTATTATATAGCAGGAACTGTATTAGGATCATGCCTAAAACAGTTCCTGCCATATAATACACAGTATATTATGTCAGCTGTCTTACTGTATAATTTTGTACTCCATTTTCACTTTACTCAATCTGTCAAAGGACTTTCCAGACTAAATTTAGGTTATGAGAAAGTTGATATATGAGTTCATATAGCAAATAAAAAAAAATAGATAAACTTCTAAGGCTTTGTTCAACAATTGCCAATATTTTGCAACACTTATTTTACCCCAAAATAAACATAAAATACTTTTAAAAAATCAACATATTTTTAAAAACCCTACAGCCAACATCACAGTCAATGGACAAAAACTCAGTGTCTTTCCCTTAAGCTCAGGAACAAAACAGGGATGTCCACTTTTACCACTCTTATTCAACATAGTACTGGAAGTCCTAGCCACAACAATCAGACAAGAATAAATAAAAGGCATCCAAATTGGGAAGGAGGAGGTAAAACTGTCATTATTTGCAGATGACATGGTAGTGTACATAGAAAACCGTATAGTCTCCACCAAAAAACAGCTCCATCTAATAAGTGAATTTGGCAAAGTAGTGGGATACAGAGTCATTATTCAGAAATTGATGGCATTTTTGTACACCAACAATGAACTATCAGAAAGAGAAAGTAGAAAAAAATCCCACTTACTATAGCAACAAGAAAAGATAAAGTACCTAGAAATAAATTCAACCAAGGATGTAAAAGACCTATACTCAGAAAACTACAGAACACTAAAGAAAAATTGAGGAAAATACAATAAATGGAAGCACATACGCTGTTCATGGATTGGAAGAATTAACATCATTAAAATGTCCATGCTACTCAAAGCAACCTACAGATTCAACATAATCCCTATTAAAATACCAATGATAAATTTCACTTCTGTAGTCAAATACTCCAAAAATTTATATGGAAACAAAAATGACCCCAAATAGCCTCAGCAATCTTGAGAAAATAGGATAAAATTAGATGGATCACAATACCTGATATAAAATTATACTACATGGCTACTGTAACCAAAACAGCCTAGCACTGGCGTAAGAACAGACACATATGTCAAGCAGCCCAGAATAAAGAGCCCAGAAGCAAACTCATGTCTTTATGGTCAATTAATATTCAACAAAGGGGGAAGAAGCATAAAATGGAATAAAAATAGCCTCTTCAACAAATGGTGTTGGGAGAACTGGACTGGCCCATGAAGAAAAATGACACTAGACCACTAACTTAAACCATATACCATGAAAAACTCAAAATGGATAAAAGACTTAAATATAAGTTGTGATACCATAAAAATCCTAGAGGAAAACATAGGCAGGAAAATTTCAGATATTCCACACTGCCATATTTTTCCCAATATATCTCCTAGGGCAAGGGAAATAAAGAAAAAAATAAACAAATGTAACTACATAAAATTAAAAAGCTTCCGCATGGCTAAAGAAACCATTATCCAAATGAAAAGGGAACTGACCATATGAGAAAATATATTTGCCAATGATTCAATGGACAAGGGTTTAATCTTGAAAATATATAATGAACTCAACAGCAGGAAGAGAAACATCCAATTAAAAAATGGACGAACGACCTGAATAGACACTTCTCCAAGGAGGACATACAGATGGCCTATAGACATCTGAAAAGGTGCTCAACATCACTAGACATCAGAGAGATGAAAATTAAAACCACAATGAGATATCATATCACACATGTCAGAATGACTATCAGTAAATCAACAAACAAGTGCTGGTGAGGGTGTGGAGAAAAGGGAACCCTAGTGCACTATTGGTGGGAATGCAGACTGGTGCAGCCACTGTGGAAAACAGTAAGGAATTTACTCAAAAAACTAAAAATGGACCTGTCTTTTGACCCACTGATTCCACTGCTGGGAATACACACTGAGAATCCCAAATACCAATTCAAAGGAATTCATGCACTCCTATGTTCTTGGCAGCACTATTTACAATAGCCAAGTGCTGGAAACAGCCTAAGTGCCCATCAGTAGATGAATGGATCAAAAAACAGTGGTACATTTACACAATGGAATACGAAGCACCGGAAAGAAAGAAGGAGTTCCTACAAAAGAAAGCAAGCATCAGACAGAAAGGAGTTCTGTTCTTTGCAGTAGCATGGACAGAACTAAGATTATGTTAAGTGAAATAAGACAGTGATGAAAGACAAATATCATATGATCTCACTTATAAAAGGAATTTAATGAAAATAAACCATGAGCAAAATGGAACCAGAGACACTGAAACATGGAACACACTGGCAGCCCCCACAGGGGCAGAGCGAGGAGGATAAGGGGGAAAAGGAGGGGAAGGGACTAGTCAAAGAACATGTGTGAATAATTCATGGACATGGACTACGGTGTGGGGATTGACTGTGGGAGTTGGGGGTGGGCTGGGCAATAGAGGACAAAGGGGGAAAAATTGTGACAACTGTGATAGAATAACGATAAAAAAATAAAAACAGGAATAGAACAAGAATACTGAATATACCCTATGAAAAAAGCAGTTCTAAGATCTATATTCTAAAAATTACTAGAAATTGTTCCTTGTGTGTTCTCTCACCAAAATGCTATATAGTTATATGTTTCATTCCTTTTCAGATTTTTCTTTATATCTTTTATATAATTTTACTTTTGAATATGTAAATACATATGATTCCAAAATTAAAACTATATAAACAAGTTATATTTAGAGAAATCTCTTTTCTATTGTTGGCATTTTTCCCATAGCCTCCTTCTACTATATACTGTTGTGTGCTTTTTTTTTTCCACTTCAGAATATATTCTGCAGATCATTTTATATTGGTACATGCAAACTTTCTACACCTCTTTGTGACTTCTGAGGAAACAATCACTTAAAAGGGACACCATCTACCTGGAGATAGTTCCATGGGTGCATGCAACTTTAGTTAGTTCTCTGTTAATAGGCATTTTGATTGCTTCCAAACTTTTGCTAATAAAAGTGATGCTGTTGTAACTAATGTTATACAAATGAGTTTTTTATACCAGTGTGTATTTAGAACAAATTCCTCAAATTGCTGGGTTATAAGATAAATGCATATGAAATTTTGTTGGATATTGCCAAATTCCTTCTTGGGCTTTTGTATCCCTATCAGCAATGCATCGAAGTGTCTATTTCCCCACAATCACAGAGTATGCTATATAATTTTGAATCTTGGTGAGACAGTGCAGTTATGATTTTTAGCATAGCTTTCATTTGTATTTATCTTTTACTAAAGTTCAACATCTTTTAAAGAGTTCTTTTTTAAAAAAAATACATTTATTGATTTTAGAGAGAGGAAGGCAGGGAGGGAGGGAGAGTGGGAGTGTGAGAGAGAGAGAGAGGAACATCGATATGAGAGAGAACCATCAATCAGTTGCCTGCAGTATTCACCCCAACTAGTGACCAAACCACAAAATAGGCATGTGCCCTGACTAGGATTCAAACCCGCAACTCTTTGGTGCACGGGATGATGCTCCAACCAACTGCGCCACACCAGCTGGTGTAAGTTCAGTATCTTTTATATGTTTCTCATCTGCATTTCTTTTTCTGTGAACTCTGTTTTCAACTCTTTGCCCATTTTTCTACAGGGTTGATAAGTCATTTGCCTTGATTTTTAGGTTATTTTTACTAAGGAGATTAACTCTTTGTGGTATATGAGGTCTGTCTAGAAAGTATTCAACCAAGTAATGTGCAAAAAAAGGACATTTACTGAAAAAGATACAAGAAACACAGGACATTGCATACAGGACAATGATGCCTTAATTCCTTTCAAAGTAGGCACCCTGGGACCTCACACAGTTCTCCCAATTGACATCAGCTACCCCAAAGTATTTTCCTGAATCTCACTGATGGTCTGAAATCACTTTCCTTTCAAAGGTGACTATAGTTTTGGGAAAAAGCCAGATGTCGCTGGGTACCAAATCTGGGCTTTAGTGGGGATGAGCCACCTGGGTGATT